TCTCTCTCTCTCTCTCTCTCTCTCTCTCTCTCTCTCTCTCTCTCTCTCTCTCTCTCTCTCTCTCTCTCTCTCACAGATCAGACACGCATTAACTATCACAGCGTACTGAGAGATTAAAAACTCTGTGAGCACATGTGCTCACACATACATAGATTTGCACCAACCTTATAACTCTAGGATAAAGGTAGCGGTAACGAAAGACAAAATAGCCTGCTCTGTGTATTCACAGAGTATATTGTGTGTTTTATGTGTGTGCGTGCACGCACTGACATAAACACTGACGTCATGTCACTAATGTCACAGACTGCACTGAGATAATATCCACAGGGTATATTGTGTGTGTATATTTTTGTGTGTGTGTGCATACATGGACTGACATTAGAGCACTGACATCATGTCATTGATGTCATAGGCTGCACTGAGATATCCACAGGGTATATTGTGTGTTTGTGTGTGCACTGACTGACATTAGGACACTGACGCCATGCCACTGACCTCTCAGCACTGACGCCATGTAGTTCATAACAGATACAACTCACCCAAATGTCCCTTAATTCCTTGTTGTCAATCAAAGACTCATCAGGTTGCGTTTGTTTCAGTTTTTTACTCAGTTTTGTAAAATGGATTTTATTTTGTTTTTGCTTTTGACTTGTGCTTGCCTCTAAGTTCTTTATAAACCCCAAACTGGGATACATTAGCATGCACTCTGGCACAAGGAAGTATTTTCACATGTTACTTGCGCATTACTGACATAGGTTTCTCATTTGCTTTTTTTTTGGTTATGCAAGTGTAAGCCGTGAGAGCTTTGTTGTAGATACAAGTCTTTGGTTAGAGCTAGCTTTTGGCTTCTTTTTTTTTTTTCAGTAACATTGTTTTGGTGATAGATTATTTTAATTTGTATTGAATACCTTTTTTTCTTTTTTTATGATTAAATAATTTATTTTTAGTGATTATTGAAAGTTGTTTTAAATAGCTTTTTCTATTTTTTCCAATACTATCTTTTAGGTGATTTAAAAAAGATTGTTTTGAATAATCTTACTTTGACGGTGAACTGATATATGGTGCATGCTTATGTATTTAAAATAATTTTTTAGTTGCTTTGTCTTCCTTTTTGCCTCTTTTTTCTGTGTGGTTGAAACATAATTTTTCTCAGTTATTATCGTGGTAATTATATTCAATGCAGCATGCTGATGCTATTATATATAAGCTCCGTTTATTGAAGGAGAAAAGATTTGAACAATGACCATATAGTGCAACAAAAAATCGGTTTGGGTTTTTTTGGCCTTGCGGAAAGAAAACTAATGAGATCTCATCAGATTCCATAGTTTACAGGGTGGTAAACAGTAATGACTCGTTTTTGAGATTGTATTATTTTTACACTGTGAATTTTGAGACACTGTTGTATGTATGTAACTGTAAATCTGATTTTCCCATTAGACCAATAAAAATGTTTTTTGAAGTATTTAATCTTTTTGTTTAAAATTTTGGGAAATATAGTCTTTGTGGTTGGTTGGAGGGTGACACTGGTACGATCTACTTCTTTTTTGTCCCTCTATTTTTTTCTATAAACTTGATTTTCTTTTTTCATGATCTAAATGACCTTTGTGTTGATAAGCTTCTCTTTTTCCAAACAAATTATATGATGTTGATGAATTATAATTGTGTGTATGCATTGTACTTGTACCATTGTAATCGAAATTTCTCAACGTGAGTCTATTATTTTGGTTTTCCCCTCCTTTATTAATCTGTCTGTCTGTCTGTCTGTCTGTCTGTCTGTCTGTCTGTCTGTCTGTCTGTCCTATTATATGTCTATTTGTCTATATCTGTGTATTTATTTATTTATTTATTTATTCATTTATTTATGTCTTTCTTTCTGACTTTATCTATTTATTTATCTATTTATTTATTACTGACAGAGAATACAGCTGGAGTATTTGCACCCCCTGGGAGAGGGAGATGTGAGCTTAGCATGGCCTGAGACTGTCGTGTTCTCTGGCTTGACAGTGTAATGTTACCCAAGCTTGAGACTACTTATGTTCCTCCCTCAGGTGACGGAAGAATCCGCAGCTGCACGGAGGTTGAGAGTCGCAAGTCCAACCTGGGCCGCTCCCGGTCGGCGCAGTCGCTGAAAAATCTGGACCAGACGGGTGCGGAGGACAAACTGACTCTGGTCACTCAGATGTTCTGGATGACTGTGTCGTTGCTGGAGTCCGATTATGAGTACGAGTTTTCTCTGGCCGTGAAGCTTTTGGACAAGGTATGTTGTGTGGTACAGACCATAGATGTGGGGGATTGGCGGATGTTCTGGTGTGGGTTTTTTCTCCTTTTTTTCTATCAAACATCTCTCTTCCTTCTCTCTCCTCCTTCTTATGTTTGTATGTTTCTGTTCGTGACACCTCTAATCTTCGACACTTTTATGACCTAATTGTGTTGCGAGTCCCGTTAAACATTCAACTAAAACTAAAAATGGTTGGAGGCACCAAACTGTAACGGAATGGATATGAGTCTGTGTCAAAGATTCGCTTTTTGTAGGTCACATTTCATTTCTTCCCGTTAGTTGCCTCTGTTCATATGCTTATCTTTAGTTATTAGTTCTCCTTTTTATAGTCATTTGTTTGAAGTTCTTCCTTTTTTTTGGACTTTATGCCTTTGTCCCCCCAGTAGTTGGGACTTTTTATGAGTTATTTTCTTACTTCTTACTGTGAAACAAATGGGTCATCTGTGCTGGATGCACATATAGCTGATATATGTGGGAGACACTTGTGGGTGTTACATTTTGACTACTCAGCTTAAGACTCGGTCACCATTTTTTTTGTTTTTGGGTCAGTGTTATACGGCGCTCGCAACTACATAAGATCACATGAGCGCGTGGGACACATTAAACTTTTTCAGTTCGTAGGAAATTTTGAATTTTGCCCAGGTGGTGACCGAAGCCTACTCTTATTGATTTTAGACCACCAAGGGATCTTTAATGTGCACAACTTGCACACGGGCCCTTTGAGATATTTTTTTACCCTTGTCCGAGAAGGCTAAGTGTAGATCACTCCTACCAGAAGATCAGGGGTATGGCTGAAAGACATCAGTAGGAATGAGCCAAGGAGTAGCAGTGGAAAGGCTGCAGAAAGAGTGATGAGCAGTCGATTTGGGCAAGATGCGTGGATGACGCTAATGCACATGGATGATACAAGCGGACCTTTTCCCTATCTCTCTCTCTCCTGCCAGATCCTGTGCCACCTTCAGCCTGAACGGCCTGAGTGTCGTGACAAACTGGAC